GATATTTTAAAGATGGAAAGACTGAAGAAGCTGGAGGGAGGTCTGAAATGATTAGTGATAAAAATATATCTACTTGAGCTTATAAAATTGACATCCAGACCCTGTCACACTATATTATCTTAATGATGGTGCCTAATATGACATATTTCTATCATTATCTTACACAATGCTTCAGTTATCACGCCTTATAAATCCAACATTTGAAACAGTTCAGGTATAGGTTCTTCCTTTTCTAGTACCTGCTTGCTCGCTCCTCCTGCTTCTTCTGCTGCTTGGTCAGTAGCTGGGATCGTCTCAGCCTTTATAGAATAAAATCAACACAAAGTAACATTCAAGGATTGTGGTGATGTTTAGTATTGTATCAATGTTGAATATAGCATAAGCAAAAACAGAAGTTTATATCAGAGCAAGGAAAACTGAGAACAGACCATTTTTATAAACCAAATTAACCTTTTTTTTGAGTTTTTACAGCAATAGTGGCTTGTTTTTTTTATGGACAGTAGGTTGACAGGAAAGGGGGTATGAGAGGGGGAGAGACATGCAGGAAATGACCACAGGCCAGATTCAAACCCAGGTCAGCCACATTAAGGACTAAGGCCTTCATACGTGGGTCGTGTGACCTAACCACTGCGCCACCAAAGCACACCCCACCAGATGAACTTTTAATCATACATTCCAGAAACTGTCAGGATGGGCACCTTATGTTTTGGGTCTATGAGATTCTTGATGAAATCCAGATCTTCTTTTAGAATATTTTTAAGCTCTTCTGTTTTGTCAGAATCTCCTCTATCCTCGCCAGTCATTTTCTTTCGCACATCCTTCATATATTTTAGTAAGCCATCATTCTTTTCCATCAGATGGTCAATCATCTTTTTAGATAGTTCCTCATGCTGCAAGACACAAAATTATTTATCGTGAGAACAGGACATCACATTTTGAAAATAAAAGTAACATATCTATCTGAATAAAGCGGAAATAGTCTACTTTGTATTAGAAACAAAAGGACACTGTTTAACTTTAAATGTGGGCAGACATCAGGTGTGATCATTATTTACTTGGGAGCTGTGATCAGTTTTTATTTTCATTTTGACTGTTGGGATATATTGCCACAATGAGCACAAATCAGTTGGATGAACCATCTAAAGCCATCCCCCTTTTCCTTTTTCACAAAGAGAATAAAAGATTAGCTGGAAAAGTACTGTAGCTGCCCACTGTAAAAGGCGGTCAGCTCAAGCACAGACCAATCAGCTGATGGAGGAGGCTGATACTTGATCAGGAAATGCCCCCACGTCACTCATGGTTTAAAACGCAAAGCGCGGACTAAAGCTTTTTCTTTCCATGTTTTCACGACCTGTAAGAAGAGACTGCTTTCACATGAAATGCCAGAAGAAAGCTAAATGGAAGCTTTTGTGTTTCCTGCGTCAAAAGTCGTGGATGGCAGTGTCTAATCGTGCATAGTGGCTGCGCTAACTGAGGAGATAGAAACCTCCGGAGCTGACTGCTGAGTGGAGTCCCCCCCCTTCTTGAGGACCTCGCAAAGGACGGCCTATCGCAAAAGGGACGTCTTCTGCCGATAGTTTCCATAACAAAATCTTCCTCGACTTAAAAGCACATCAAGCCCTCTGCTGTAGCATCAAACTGACTGAAACTTTCCCGAGAGCGGATCCGGTGGTGTAGAAGACCCGCGTGGCTGGAGCCACACCACGTGCTCCCTCGGAACCCGCAACTCACAGTAATATCACTCTTCTTTTCTTTTGATGCATTAATGAGGTGCTGTGCTCGGCGAGAGAGACAGGTAGATTCAGGGATTTGATTTAATGCTGATTTTAATTTGTGTTGGTTATAAGAGTTCTGGTTAATTGGTTGAAATAAGTGTGCTGTGAAAGCTGCAAGTGATATTTCTTTCTTCTTCTCTTTCCTATCCTCTTTTCGTTTGTTTCAGCTTTAAGGGAGTTATAGAGATATAACATTCAACCGCGTGTGGTCCCGTGGTCCCCCCCCCCCCCCCCTTTTTTTATCACATGAAGAGGGAGGTCTCTCGTACATTTACATGCCTTCCCCACATACATACATACTGCCTTGTTGATGCCGTTTTGCTTAAACGACTTCTGCTGCTGTTGTTTAATGCATTTTTAACCATTTACCATTTTTAAGCTGAATGTATTAATTTTATGTTGATTAATTGCACTGTTATCATCAAACCTGCTGCTATTCCAGAGGACATTAGTAAATGTATTAACATCTGGCATTTTGAACAACCTCAAAAGCCAGTTACGGACTTTTACTGTTTTATTCTCTTTTTTCTATTCTTCTTTGTTTTCTTTAAACTAGTCATTTAATCTACCTCGTGTTTTTTTCTAATAGCGGGTAGTGTTTGCATAGATGTTAGATTTTCTGTAATCCTGACTTATAAGAATAAAGACATCGTTGTTTAACTTGTAGTAGTTCTGTGTTTCATATAGTGGACGATTTATCACTCAGGTCAGATCCACCCCTTTTGGTAATAGTGCGAATAAACAGAGGTAAAAAGTTCTTTATTGATAATTAAGAGCTCTGCTGATAACTTAGCCTGGGCCACTAGATTGGTGGAAACCTGGATTTTAACAGCCGGTCCAGGAACCCTCCATAGGTGAAACCACAAACCCTGGTAAGTAAGTAAATTAAAGCTACAATTATTCAACTAAGAACACTAAATTGATTTCACCTCCGATTTTGAATAGGTTAAATAACTATAACTCCAGTTTTAGTTAATCAATTATTCATTATCTGCAGGATATTATTTTGCACAACATGACCTTTAGATAAGAGCTGTGCTATGCAAAGAACTTCCACTTATACTTGAAACATTGATTAAAAACATTTGTAAAAAAAAACTTGTTTTGGTATTTATGAAGATATAAGCAGAATGAAAATAGATTTCAATTTGCACACAGTGATTTTTTTAAGGGAGTCTTAAATCTGAGTTCGCTTTTAATCCCAATCAATTAATCAAAACGTATTTATTGTCAGATCGAGGTCTTCTCACACCCCTGTTCTCCGGCTGCCACCCCGAGTCTGGGGCCTGGAGGAAGAGTGAGCCGCCTGGTCCGTGGGAGATGTAAACGGGAGATGTAAACCCGAGTCACAATGTCTAAGGCTGTTTGTTAATAAACTAGTTAACTTGTAAAGACGTGGATTTCTTTATGTACTGCAGCACAAACATTACACCCCCCGGCTGGGTTCCCTGCCAGGGGGTGGGGCGCCCCTGGCGGATACACTTTGGTGCTTGGCTGCCGGCGGAGCCCCCAGACTCGTCCCCGCGGCTCCCGGGGGCTCCGGCATTGCGGTGGCTGGGGGGCTTCCTATCTCTCCTCCTCCCTTGGTGGGGTCGGATTTCCTGGGTTACCCCTGCTTGGTGCCTTAGCTCTTAGGGTCCCTTTGGGTGTCTGGGGCTTTGGGTCTCCTGGCACTGGACTCATGCTCTGGGGGGGGGCGCCTCTTCAGCTCTCAACAACCACTATTGAGCAATCTTCCTTTGGATAAACTTAACATGCAGAAGTGCACTTTCCCAAAACAACTACAGGTGCTTGATTCCAGGTACTTAGAGATTCACTTCCACACAGAGAGCCCACACTCTTGTCTTCAGGTAACACAGAGTACATGTCAGATTAATGTGTTAGTATGTCTCGTAACATGTCCGTTGGTTGTGCTGTTCTTTTTGCGTCTCTTTGCAGCAGTGTTAATTTCGTCAGCCATGACGTTGACGAAATTTTTTCGTCAACGCTCCTTTTTCCCGTGACAATGACAAGACGATAACGAACAAAAATTGTTTCCAGAAAATAAAAATATGACGAAAATAAAAAAATTATTTTTCGTCGAGACAAGACAGACGAAATGGACATTAAAAAATGTAATTATTTATGATTTATTTTTAATTGTTAATATAAGTGTTTCTCGAGCTTCATAGAAGATGCCTTATTTGTCCCTAGACGGCACCTGTCCCACAGTTTCTCGCGCCGCTCAGTCAGTAGTAGCAGAGGGCTAACTCATAGCTCAACTTCGCAGTCATTGCGGATACCGGTGTGCGGTTTGTTAAACAACGCCTGGATGAATGGAGCCATTACATTCGCTTACAACTCGAAGGAAAACACCGCAGTAAGGATGCAACCAAAGGGTCTCTGGCTTCAACAAGGCAGGGAAGAACACAGCGAATCTCAAGCGACATCTCAGGTGCCAACAGGTTACATATGGAATAAGGTAATGAATGGGTGGGCCTGTAGTAGTGGGAACGGGTGTGTTAGTGCGTGCACGGGTGCATGCATGTGAACGTATATTTCTGTGCGTGGACACGCATGCATGTCGCTGTGTGTGTGTGCGCGGAGGCGCACGTGTGTGTGTGTGTGTGCCTTCCTGTGCCTGCATCTGTCTTTCTCTCTCTATCATAGAAGAAAGATGTTCTACTGATACACTGTATATTAATCGTTTAAATTTCTTCCTCCCAACTAGATTCCTGACACATTGACAACACAGCAAAATCAGAGGTTGGGGAAGGAAGGGAAGTCTGTTGCTGAGATGTACCCCCACCCCTGACGCCAAAGAGCAGAAAGCCCTGGACAACTGAATGGCAAAGTGGATTGGGCATTCTAGCCTGCCTGCAAGGACCTTTGAGAATGAAGACTTTGTGGATATGATGAAACAAGCCGACAAAAGGTTCAATGTGTACAGTGTGATATATGTTAAAAGGAGAATCAGTGTGTGAAGTTCTATTCTGCACAGTGTTATATAAATAAAATAGAGAAAAAGAGAATCAGTGTGTGAAGTTCTATTCTGCACAGTGTTATATAAATAAAATTGAGAAAAAGAGAAGCTGTGTGTGATGAAGTTTTATTCTGTACGTGTGATATATATCTAAAAAAACAGTGTGTGGAGAAGTTCTATTATTTACAGTGTTGAATAAAAGGACAAAAATGGCTAAAATTTGACTAAGACTAAAATTGATTTTCGTCATTTAGGCTAAGACTAAAACTAAATCGGGAAGACGACTAAATATGACTAAGAGTAAAATAGATTTTTGTCATTGTGACTAAGACTAAATTAAAAAAAAGCTGACGAAATTAAGGGTGATGAAGCAGACTGAGGATGTTTTCTCTTTGTCTCCCTTTTGTCTCCTCTTTCTTTCATCTCTTCTTCTTTTTTTTCTTTTTCCTTTCCGGTTTTGCAGAGAAAAAAAAAAATTCTTTATTGTCAATTACAATTGACATCCACACCCTGTTACACTATATTATCTTAATGATGGTGCCTTATATAACATATTTCTATCATTATCTTACACAATGCTTCAGTTATCAAGCATTAGAAATCCAACTTTTGAAACAGTTCAGGTATAGGTTCTTGCTTTACTAGTACCTGCTCGCTTTCAGCTCCTGCTTCTTTTGCTGCTTGGCCAGAAGCTGGGGTCGTCTCAGCCTTTATTGAAGAAAATCAACACAAAATAACATTCAAGGATTGTGGTAATTTTCAGTACTGTATTAATGTTGAATATATATGCTTGTAGAAAAACAATAACAAAGTCATTCTAAAATGTTTATCAAAGCAAACAAGAAAGAAAACAAAAATAAAACAGTCATGTTATAAGAAAAAACAAAACAAAAACTGGTTGTATTAGGCTTAAAACTGTAAAGTTATAATGTGTATTTTTCCCCCTACGTATCCTCTTTTTTACTTTTTATCTGCCTGTTTAATTAAGCAAACATTCACTGACAATATTTTAGCATTTTTTCCTTTAATAGTATTTAATAGTAGACGTAGCCGAGAGGGTTTGAGACAGGCGCGGTGAGAAAAAAAAATTTGATTGCTACATTTTTACCTGGCATGCTTTTATTCTGAAAGCACAATGCTCTCCAGAATATGCAATCCAATCAATATTTTTTCATCAGATTTTACCGCCACTATCGGACTTTTGAACAATAGAAGCACTCTGTCTTCTTGAAAAGAGCAATGTCAGTTTAAATGGCTGGGGATAAAAATATAACTAGGATGAGATCTAGGGTGTGAAGTAAGGTTTAAAAATCACATTAGAAGGGATTCAGATTGGAGAACAAATGAGGACTGACGTTGGATTGAATTTTAAGACAATCTTTTTAGTCATCTCGTTATTTTCATAGAACTATAAAGATTTAAGTTGGGTTATATGAGTATCGCCTGCACTAGTACACTTTACATTTGGTTGTGAAGGTGGCGCAGTGGTTAGCGCACACGACCCATGTTCGGAGGCCTTAGTCCTCGACGCGGCCGACCTAGGTTTTAATCCGACCTTTGGTGCTTTGCTGCATGTCTCTGCCCTTCTATCATACCCCCTTTCCTGTCAGTCTACTGACTGAAAAAACGAGCCACTAGTGCCGTGAAAAAAAAAAAAAAACACTTTATAATTCTTCTTCATGTTTAAAACGCTCCTCCATTTTAACCAAGGGATAGATTTTGTTTTACATTTATTTGTAAAATGTGCTACCTTTATGCTCAGAAGCTGTACCTTAGACATTCATGCTAGAGTTATTTTGCATGTTTAGGAGCAGAAACTATCCACAAACAGTAAAATAGGAGGATGGTACATTGGAAACTTTTAATGTCAGGGTTAGGTTATGCGGTTAACAGATATCACAGCATATGAGCCTAAGTTCATCTGCCAATTGATAAAAATCTTTATGTATAAGAAAAGCCTCAACAGATGCTCTTTTTGTATCTTTTGTAAGTCCAATCCTGATGTGGTACATAACTATAATGTTTAATGGTTTGAGGCCGGGACTCAAGTAAGTGAGGGACAGGAGCTGACATATAGGTAAGACAGATTAACACATAATAGGAGATTGGGCTGCGAAGTGCACACTAAACTGTCAATGAAGCACTAAGCTGGGCTATTAGATATAGGAGAAAAAAACTGCTTATTTATTAAACTTTTTATCTGTCAAACTGTGTTGTGTTTCAAACTGTTTTAACAATTTTACAAGCTTTTTTTATTTTAGGTTTCCATAGGAAGCCTAAACTTGTATAATTATAAAGTTTACTATATATATCTACATATATATCTACAGCAATCTATGGCTGAAAGGTGGGGTACACCCTGCCGTTGAACAGGTTGCCAGTCTGTCACAGGGAAACACAGATATTCAACAATGCACAAATACACACTCACACTTAAGGGCAATTTATATTTGTTTTTGTATTGTGGGGGGAAGCTGGAGTACCCAGAGAGAACCCATGTTTCCACCAATAAAACACATTATGACATAAAAGTCCAAACTCTTTTTTTTTTCTTCCAAATCCGATGAATGTATTTCTATTTCCTCCTTTGAGCTACTTTGCAAAAAAACAAAACAAAACAAAAAACCCTCATTCTCATAAATTAGCTTTTATTTCACTCATACTTCTGGGAAGGGACCTTAATTTAAAGGGCAACAAAATGTAACCTGTGAAACATGCTTGTAAAGCAAGCATGTTTCAGAACAAACAAATTATAAATGCCTCCAGCTGATGGTATCAAACAGTGAGATAGTTTTCCATTTATGAGTAGGAACAAAAGGACAAAAGGTTTAAAACAATAGTTTGCTATTTATGAGTAGGAACAAAAGGACAAAAGGTTAAAAACGATAGTTTGCCATTTATGAGTAGGAACACTAGGACAAAAGGTTAAAAACAACAGACTGAACTATGGAAGAACAAGTGGTGCATTGGTGGAAGGAAATCCAGATTTTACAAAAAATAAATCTTTGTAAACATAAAATTTGATCGACTGATAAAATCAATGAATTGCACAGCCCTAATTTTCTGTAAAGTTTCCAATATGTGCCGCCCCACCCCCCAATAATTCAACTATCCTACATGATTGTTTACTAGTACTTAGTAAAGGTGTGGCAGTAAAAAAGACAGCAAACAAAGGTATTATAGACTATTCAAATTAGACACTTGAGCAAGGACTTGCACTCTCCTGCACTATGAGCCTAGGTCTTGCCTCAATGTTTACCTCATTGGTTTGCCAGTTTTCATTTAAAAGGCATGTGTTTGGGCAGGTTGTGCCTCAACCTCTTTTATGAGTGTGAGTGAGGAAAATGTCTCAAGCCTTTATGTTAAAGACATTTAGGACATTTTAAAAGGAGCATCAATTTCTATTCTTCTAGTTGCATTTCAAATTGAATTACAAGTTTAAACCCTGATGTTAAGCGAATATTCAGACAATCCTGCCTAAACTCAGTCTTAAATATATATACCCCCACAGGAGGTACCTCAGATTTGCTTTTCAGGGGAAGATGTACTATTATTTAAAACTTCCCTTTGGTCTCTCGCTAAGCCTACTGGTGTTTGTGTAATACACCGAGGCTGCAGTCGCATCTCTGAAGGAGAAATGCGTACGTCTGGCGACATTTATAGTTGACTGGCTGATTGCAGTACAGTACTGAGAGGAACTTGTGATGCATGCCAAGATCCTTACATTGCATCTGAAAGCCCTGGGCTGGTCAATAAATCCGGTAAAGAACATTGTAGCCCCAGTGCAAAAACATCTCTTTTATTCGCCTATCCCTAAACAACAAGGAGTTCAAAGCACACCGCTCAGCAGAAAGACTGGAAGCCTTTTGGGATGGTCTTGCACTTTTTCACAGAGGCCCACATGTGAAACTCAAACAGACTGTAACAGACTCCTGGGTCTGTTACAGACCCAGGAGTCTAACAGAACCAAGACTGTAACACTAATTTGTTTTTGATGTGCTTTTTGTACAAGCATATCAGATTTTTTGGACTGTTAAAGTTACAGCAGGGTCTAAATTGAAAATATAATATTAATCCAATAGTTTAAAGCAGTGGAATAAGGGCACTCATATTTCAAAATTATACCTTGTCACCAAAAGAATAACTTCCATATTTAAGTAGTAAACAAAGGAATTCATTGGCAAGTGAATGGAGTGTTAATTTGATATGCTTAAATCAGTCTGATAAAATGCAATGAGGTAGCAGATTAGATTCTCTTTTACCGTCTGCTTAATGGCCTTTAATCGTCTTGCTTCGGGTATAAACATTAGATCAAACATGTGGGAAAACGGTCCATGTCCTGAAAAGAAAAGAAGTCAAAGTTCAGGGGTTTGAGCTATGATTTAAAGTCTATATATAATATCTTAAACAGTTCTTCATTATTAAAACAAACATTCTAAACGTCTTTTTAATCCTAGTAGAACTGGGTTTAAAGGTCAGTTTTAATCTTGAAATACAAGTTGAAACATTTCTTTTCACAGACACTGATACAATTTTGAATATTTAAAAAGAAGCTAATACATATATATTGATATTGTTGTAAAGCTAATGACAGTTATGGTTGTTATCACAAGTGTTTATTTTCTTTTTATGTTAGTAGATGTTCGGTCTAAAACAGAAATTGAACAGGTGATAGACTGCACGCGCCAAATCCTATGTTAGAATGTTACAATAACAGCATATAAATTAAATATATAATTTTCCCACAATGAGAAAATCTACCTTCTACATTAAACTGTTACTTTGTTCAGTTACCATTCTGGGGTATTTGGTTTCCTCAGGAAACAAATATGCTTCATTTACTTATTTGAGATGATTGACTAATGCTTAGCTAAGGCAGTGAAATACAATAGTTTTTTTCAAAATTCAAACTGCTGCTGGTTTTTTGAATATTAACTGTGAGTCTGACTCAGGAAGTCCCTCACCCAGGTCATGGCAAAGTGCAGCAATTTGCACACAAAGGACGTCCCAGTCAGTAATCCCAAGATCCTGCTGCTTCTCTCTGATAGCCTTTAGAAGTTCTCCAGCCAGGTAAGCCACCCTGTAACAGAAAAAATAAAAATAAAATAGATTAACCCTAACAAGATAAATCAAGCAAACTGATAAATCAAGCCTTTTTGAGAGAACTATTGTTAGTGAACCTCAGCAACAAAACGCTTAATTTACCCAATGCTGTGTTCGAAGCGGCTGTGGGTTGCCCCAGGGTAAACATAAGATACAGCTCCAAGCTGCTTGATGTTTCGAAGTCGTTGGAACTGAGGCGTGTCAATGATCTTGACAAGGAGTGGATGCAGCTCTATGGTCCCATGGACCGAATCTTTAAAAACCTGACAAGAACATGAGAAAATAATCTTTGACATCATACTGTAGTATACAGAAAAGGATGAAAATAATGAATATTTGTGTAACAAAGAAACAGGAAAGAAACTCAAATGCTTATTTTATTGAAAATCTGAACTTGTTTTATATCTGTTTTCAGTTCTCCAATGGAAACATGTATGATCCTTATTTAAAACAGAATAGGATAGAGATAGCTCACATAATATGATTTACAATAACAACTAAAAAGAGTTAAAAATACAGGTAACCAATATGACTAAAATGTGAAATCTAAACATGATTTAACAATTAAACTGCCTTCTCCATGAATACAAAGCCCTAGTAAAGTGATCTTTTACTAGTGGACAAAATCCTTGTCTACTTTTTACCTGAGTCTTTGTGTGTTTAAAATACATATTTTCTGTCAAACTCTTGAGGAACTGAGTGTTACATGTCTGCTCCTAAAGGCTCCTCTTTTTTATCTCTAGCTGTAAAGGCTACATTCTAGTGAGAACAGTTCTACCTTGTTTTGCTCCTTCGGCATTGTTTTGCTCTGTGTTGTTACCACGTTGTTTTGCTCTGCCATTGGGTCCAAAAGCGTTGAGAGGTTTTACAGGATCTGCAGATGGTCACCAAATTTCTTGAAATGGAGATTTTTGATGTGAAGATGCTGTAAATGAGCGAAATAAAAAGTGACAGTTGTAAAGAGAGCACCAGATGAAAAAACATTTGTTCATTTCTTTTATTTAAATATTCAGACAATTTGTAAATGAAATAACAATAATTATTGATCCATATTTTTCTGTACCTCAATGTAATATTCACAGCTTAGGAAGGATGCCTAGGTCAGATTTTCAAGATGAAAATGCTTACCTGCTTCCAACAGTGTGGTAATTTATACTTGAAAGCTAACTACCTCCAGGGGAGGTTTTAAAGTCAATGTAAAAGAGGAGGGCATATAAGCACCTCCTCCAAATTCATTAACATCCTCAAATAAATATGAAAAAACAAAACATACCATAGTTAAAAAGGATCCTTACCACAAAGCAAATCAGCAGGAATGACACATCCATATCGAGTCAAGAGGAGTTTTTAAATTCAGTTTAATTTACTTTGTCAAATAAAGGAGCAAGAAAAAACATTGACCAAAACGATTCCTATTTGTCACCCAGGATGGAGGTAACATTCCCTTTAGACAAGTGGTTACCTCCATCAATAACATCATAGTCAAGTTTTTCTCCTTTTAAAGCCTGGTGTACTGAACTATTCCGGTGCAGTGTGCAACCCATGTTTACTTCATGGGCCCAGGGCAAGTCATAAGAGTTTCCATAGTTGCCATATCAGTTTCAAAATTTGGTATTTAATGGTATTTAATGGGGACTTGTAAGTCCCCACAGCACTCTTGGTCTCTGAGCAAGACCCTTAACCCAACTGTTCCCCAAGGGGATGGGTCAAATGCAGAGTTGAAGTTCTCCAGTGTGAGATTAATAAAGATTCAGTTATTGCCAGGGTCATTACAAAGAACAGAGAACAGAGGGACTTTCATCTTATCTTAAAAGCTTATGTTTTACTTGCAAATTCTAGCAGAATTTGCATTGACATGCTGCCATTGCTCCTTTGCCATTACCAGCATCATTCATATCTTTAGTTGCTCAAAAGGACGCTCCACTTGAGGTCTGTATTTGCAAAAAGGAAATATACTATAAAGGAGTTTTTTAAAGGCTCTTTAAATGAAAGTTACATAATAAACCAGTGTCATTATATAATAGTGCTGCTATAGAAATTTCAAGGACCTGATGGACATTGTCCAGTGCATGAAGAACTTGTTTCATTACAACCTGATTATATCCAGTAGAACCATGAACCAAAACTATTCAGAAAGTGGATGTAATACCCAATGGATTGTCATTTAAGTATACAACGGAGGTGGTCATAAAATGTGATATAAAAGTGAAAGCTTAAGCTTTTTAGGCGTAAATACACAACAGTAAAATATGTTTTACTGATCTTTGCTTACAGATTGTTGTTGCATTTTTATCTAATGTAATGTACTAGGGCTGTAAGTGTCATGATGTTTTTAAGAGAACTGACTCACATGCAGGAAACCACTCAGAGAACCAGAGTAAAAGTTTAACAGGTTTATTGAAATAATCAATAAGGTTGATCCAGGGTAACTCAGAGAGCTGGTGAACTGGAACTGGAAGTGATAAGGGAAGTTCTGAGGTTAGTTCAGGGTCCGTGGGAACTTTGAACAACGTCTTGCAAAAATCAAAGATGAACGGGCTCATGTTAGCAGAAAAAGGTTCTCTTCCCAGAATCCAGTCGGTGTGGGTTTATCCAGAGATTCGGGGGCTCATTGGAGGGCGGACAGGTTTTTGGTTTGGTTGGTTCCTTGAGGAGCAATGGTGCGGACTGCCACTTAGATTTCCAGGTGAACTTGAACGGGTCATGTTGAGATTAATCCCCTGCTCAGTGTAAAGCTCAAAACAATCCTTCCAGGGGGAGAAGGCCAAAAATCTAGTTTGCAGGATGACTTCCTGCCGAAAAGGCAAAGACAAAAACAAGTTTAAAACTCAGAGACAAAGACTCAGCTAAACTCAGCTTGGCTAGAGTACCCAAAACTGGCAAACATACTGGCGACGAGGTAGTGGCAGTCCACCACTTAAGAGTCCTCAGTAATGAGCACAACCAGCCGCAGGTGTGTGGGAGGACCAACGAGAACAGGGTGCCAACTGGTGGTGGAGGGAGAGAACACAAAAAACAAACACAGCCCACACACACTGGATTCCTAACAGTAAGATTCATCAGAGATGTAATATTTTGAATTTCATCTAGCTGAGTTAGAAATGATCTTACAATAAGCACTGGAAGCACTAAACCAAATCTCAGCATAGATTGCAATTTTTAGTCATTTTTTAAACAAGTTTGGGGATTGGGCCTGTCATGACCGCACTTTTGGTTCTGTTAAATTTTTCTTTTTTGAGTTTCTGATATTTGATTCATGTCTTTCTGTGTTCTCTAGTTTATTGGTTTCATTTCCATTTTTTGTTATTTATTTTTATTGTATTTGAGTTCTTGGGTATTGTTTGCCCTCTGCTGCCCTCTTGTGTCAGTCTCTTTTTTTTCCCCCTAGCTTCCTTTTAGACCCCTGTCCACCCCTGCTGCCAGTCTGCTGACTAGTCTGTTCTTTGTTCAGTCATAGATTTATACACCTCATGTTCAGTTTGCTGGTTCGTTGTCGTTGTTGTTGCTCCATCATCTCCTTACTCCCCTTGTGTGTTTTCCCTGAGGTGTTCAGATTTTTCGGTTTTCACCACTTCGCACTGTTGGATTTTTGCCCGTTTGCCTCTGGATCTTACTAAATCTTCAAATCTCATCTCTGCTTCCTCATCTCTGCATTTGAGTCCTAAAAAAACCTACACTCAACCTGACGGCCGACCCTTGGCCAAATCTTGTGTGATAGATAGCGCAGTACCATGTTTTGCCCCTCACGATAAGCTTGCAATCCGAAATTTTCAGCCACAAGAAAATAAACCAGTTAATATTTTGGTATTGGCTTGTGGGTAAATCGAAGCGGTGACACAGTCAGACGAAAAATCTCTCCTGACATTCTGCATGCGGGAAACAAAAACAAAAGTTTCATCTTCTATTATAGCTGTACCTCTATTTATTGCGTTGCATTTCAGGATTGTTCCAGACACAGACTTGGCATTGAGGACGTACAGTGTAAGTAGTCAGATCGCATCTGAGCATCGATTCGTGCAGTGTGAGGACGTACATCACAAGCTGTGAACTTTTTAATGCACACAATTTAAGTAGGGGCTGCAAGCAACAAAATCTAGAAGTTATGACCAAAAAAAGTAAAAAAATAAAACTAAAAACAATAAATAATTTTCAACTAATGTGGTAAAGCTGTAATGGCAAAAATAAAATGAAATGGTAAGATCCACACAGAAAACTAGTAAAAGGCTTAAGGGGAAAACCAAAACACAACATTCTTACAGTAATGAAAACCTACAGTAACAAGGAAAAGTCCAAACACAACTGATAGCATTAAAATGAGTGATAACATGGATGCAGCTATAAAGCCGCCAGGTTTGCTTCAGGGAAAATTTATTTTCAAGAAGCTTCCCAATAAACCTTGACTGTCTCAAGAACCAAAGCATACCTTAGGCAATGTGGAAGATGCCGGGTCAAGCACTGACATGATACCACGAACGATTACCACAATATTATGTTTGCTTCTTGTTGATTGCTTGGGTGAATGTGGGTAAAGTGGGATGCTTTTGAAAAATGTAGCTTCTGTGGTATTTAGTTATCCTAGTTAATTTCTAGAGCTACAGATTCATATGATACAAACCTGTTCAAAGACTTACTTTTACTCATTATTAAGGTAGCTCAGATTTTTTACATAAGGGACGATGACAAAAATAAGCATTTTAAGCATTTTTATTTATCTGTTAAATTCTCTGCTTCAAAGACTGTAAGGAATCCAGTCTGTGTGGGTTGTATTTTTCCCCCTGCACCACCAGGTGGCGCCCTGTTCTAGTTGGTCCTCCCACACGCCTGCGGCTGGTTGGCTCATTATTGAGGACCTCTTAAGCGGTGGACTGCCACTACTTCGACGCCATAGTAAGTTTTGGGTACTCTAGCCAAGCTGAGACTGAGTTTTTTGCCTCTCTGAGCCTAACTTGATTTTTGTCTTTTGCCTTTCAGCAGGAAGTCATCCTGCATACTGGATGTTTGGCCTTCTCCCCCTGGAAGGATAGTTTGTGCTTCACACTGAGCAGGGGATTCATCTCCTCACATCCCGTTCAAGCTCTCCAGGAAATCTAAGTGGCAGTCCGCTCCATTGCCCCTCAAGAACCAACCGCCCTCCAACAAGCCCCTCAATCTCTGGAAAACCCACACCGACTGGATTCAAGGAAGAAACCTTTTTCAGCAATCGTGAGTCCCGTTTATCTCAGTTTTTACAAGACGTGTTTCAAAGTTCCCACTGACCCTAAACTAACCTCTGTGAACTTCCCTTCTCTCTTCCAGTTCTGGTCCACCAGCTCTAAGAGTTTCCGCGAATCCAACCCTTTGAACTGTTTAATAAACCTGTTAAACTTTTCTCTGGTTTCTCTGAGTGGGTTTCTGTATGTGGGTCAGATCTCTTAAATCCGTCATGACAAAGACAAGTTTATAACAGCATTGGATTGAAGTGATGTTTGAACATTGTACTTGTACTATTACTTTTCAAAAGTGATAAAATGTTTTAAAATTTGTGTAAAGAGAAGAATTAAGTCACTTGATCTAGAAGTTATTTTTCTACACCACCATAGGGCAATGGTTTATAAGGGAACAACAGACAGTGACAATAATGTCCAAGATAAGGACTTCTTTACCTTGATATGATAATGATGTTGAGGGTTAATATCTTTGTATTTCATGTTCTTTTTCTGCTCACTGCATAGGTCTGCTCATGTCATGTGTCTATTATGTGAAAGCTTACAGGTGTGTTTCAGTGAAGCTGTAGTACTGAGTCTGTGCAGCTGTTAGACTCTGGAAGACTTGAATAACAGAAGGTGTAGATGTGAATTACAG